ATCAATTTATGGTATTCTCTTATATTCGCTTATAAACATCATCTAGTTTAGACATCTTCTTCTTCTTCTTCTTCTTCTTCTTCTTCTTCTTCTTCTTCTTCTTCTTCTTCGTCTTTGTGCCGTGTCCCTATAGGACGTGGAAGATCATGTCTCTCCCTAACTTCCTATCCTTTGAAGCGCTTTGTAGGAATGTCAAGAAGTGAAAGGAAGTTTAAAGACTATACATGAAAGAATATATAAATTTGGTTTTCATTAGAGAAGCTTTTCCCTCAATCAAAATAATATGCACCGACCTAGGTCGGTAATAATAATCGGTTGATGTAAATTCAGGTGAATATGGTCAGTTCGTTTTGACAGACGAACTGAGTTCCTAAATTTATTTAATGTCTTATTATTGCTCTATACGCCCTTGCGTTGTCATAGAGGAGAACAATATATATATATATATATATATATATATATATATATATATATATATATATATATATATATATATATGTATGTAATAAATATATGGATATAGATCCGAGAGTATGAAGAAAATATACGGAAAAAACATATTCATAAAACATAATTAACATTAGACCATATTCAATTAGACATGAAAAAGACGATGGACATAAGAGCAAGGCCAATCCAAACAGATAACTGAAATCTTTTATGAGATCAGCGTTCCGTTTAAATATGATCACGTCATGTTTAATTGAATATGGTCTAATGTTAATTATGTTTTATGAATATGCCCTGAAGATGGTCTATTAGACCGAAACGTCCGACGTTGATATTATATTAACATTAAAACGGCATAATTGTATATTAGGATTTTTTTGTTTGTTTTATCCGTATATTTTTCTCGATATATATATATATATATATATATATATATATATATATATATATATATATATATATATATATAATTTAATCCACTGTGTATACTGCTTTTTATTAGATTATATAGTCACAGATTTTGGTGTGAAAATATTTTCCGTCCGCTGTATGTATCCGCTCTCTAAGATCAATTATTTTAAAAAAATGCTTTCGGCGAGTGAATCCTGAGGGTTTTGTCAAAGATGTCCCTACTTGAACATTACGGTCTAATTACGGACTAAATAATAGAATAGAAACTATATCACTTGAGGAATACCACCCGCGGTAACCACTAAAATGCATAGTACATCTGTGTCAAAGAGAAAAATCAAGATGTTGACCTTCCACACTATTTGAAATAAAAGATTAGGAAGGAAACCCACATCAGTACTAGAGAAAGGACGCAACAGCTACTGAACTTGGAAATGGAAATTATAATTAATTTAACCTAATATATATATATATATATATATATATATATATATATATATATATATATATATATATATATAGCTGGCCAATCGTATTCGGGGATACCCGACTACTGAGGCGGCCAGTCAATCTCTATTGCAGACTATCGCTCCGGAACATTTGTGCTGGTTCAACCTGTGGTTCATACTGCAAAATGTTGAGCAGATCTTAGCGCGCGTGTAAGCTAGAATGATCTACAACCAGCACACTCAAACCCTCGGTCACGATGACTTACGAATTCGTGCTAGCACAGCTATCGACCAAATTTCACTCATTGGTTCAAACCGTCATATGGTTTTCAGGCACTTTCCAATGTCACCCACCCTCCATACCGATAACATCTGGAAGTCTCCTTGCTGACAAATCGACCATGGTGAGATTCGAACCCAGGACTCATAGTGAGAAAACGAACGTTCTAAACACTCGATATATATATATATATATATATATATATAATAGTTGCTTTAGCAATTAGTTGCATGGTTATATATCTATATCTATCTATCTATCTATCTATCTATATATATATATATATATATATATATATATATATATATGGTCAGCATTTGATGAACAGACTTGAAAACAATTTTATCAATACATTTTAATTTGAAATACATAATAAGGGGTATCCGAAAAATACAAACGATAATAAGTTTATATCTTTTTTTATATATATATATATATATATATATATATATATATATATATATATATATATATATAACCATGCAACTAATTGCTAAAGCAACTATTATATATATCCGGCGTCTTTTAAAAGGGATCTGATGAAATAAATTATTATAATGGTACCTTAAAAGTGGTCTGTTTTTTTTTTAAATATAAATATATATATATATATATATATATATATATATATATATATATATATATATATATATATATATATATATATATATATATATATATATATATATATATATATATATATATATATATATAAAGCAGTATATTTTCATTCAAACATGTTTCAATGAATAATATAGCCATATTGTGCCTATTTATTTTTATACTTATCTTTTCCAGTTGTCTAATCAGTTTGGCAATGTTAAGATGTAATTCATCATGAAAAGCTCCATTTTTTTTTTACCTAAATACTTTTGAGCTTTTCTAAGATCATCTAAGTTACAATGACAATCATGCTATTGTAATTGTGATAAAATCCGAATTCGCGGTCAACTACCTTAGATTGAAACGCTTCTTTTGTAAAAAAAAAATCATCCATAACTACAATGAATAAATTTTAAATTGTAAATTTTAAATGGTAAATTTTAAATTGTAAATTTTAAATGGTAAATTTTAGATTTTAAATTTTAAAATAACTATAACAGCGCGTTCACGCGGGTTTTTAAAAAATCACGATCACAATGGAATGCAGATTTT